ACACACACACACACACACACACACACACACACACACACACACAGTCCACTCAAATTTCACTGTCTTCTGAGGTGTCCTTGAGAATAATTAGTGTAGTAAAACACAAGGGCAGAATCCTAGGAGAGAAAAGGTAAAGCTAAAGATGGAAATCTATGTATGTATAGCTTCTCAAATGAAGGTCTGGGTATTAAAGTGAATATTCTAATGGGGACAATAGTTTCACTAGCAAGTACTTAGCAAGGTTACTGTCCCATCGGTCTGGTTTTCCATTCGTCACACAATATTATATTCAAACATTATACCCTCATTGACTCTATATAAAACAAAGCCAAAAAAAAAAAAGGTGGAGAGGTGGGAGCAAGGCATTACTCCGTGGAATCTGCCTTGGAACCTGTCCAGCAACATCTTCAACTTAGTTAAAATTATATTGGAATTCACAGGCCTTCCAGATTTTCCACGGAGGCCTCCCTTATATCTTCAGTAATTTGCTATTTCAAATTTTGATTAGTGTTTCAGATTTCCATACCATCTCAGTTTCCTGCCTATGCCTTCATCAACAGAAGTTTGTCCTCTTTGGATGAAGAGAAACAAGTTTGACTCTCTTGAAGAGTCTGGTTACCAGAAGACTAAAATCCCTGTCCAATGCTCAAATTATTTTGGAACTTTTCACCATGGAAATGTACAATACATTCATAGTACAGATTGTTAGCCTGGAAGTAAGAATTATAAAGGAAAACTGCTGGGGTATTTATTTAGAGAAGCTTTACTGATACTCTGGAAGTCTGAAGATAAAGGCAGATCTATTGCTGTTCCAACCTGTATTCCATTAACCACTGATTCTTTAACAAGGGACCAAAAACCCCCAAAATTTGGAAGAAACTTTGTGTATGAAGGACTATTTGGTTTGCAAAAAAAGGATACAAATGGAATGTTGATAATGTTTAGAAAGAAACCATTTTAATAAAATCTATAAACCAAACAATTTTATATATTAATGTATTTAAGACAATGTTACACTGTATATAAACTTTTGAAATAGAGTTGCTGTATGTATTTTTTTTTTCACTTCTGTTGCTAAACTGAATTTTTTCCTCTCTTACCTGATAGAATTTAGTGTGTCTGGGACTGTATTTGAGCAACATGGAAGCCAAATATTTATTTGATTCTTTTGAATCAACAACTTTTAATAAAATAAAGGTGATGCAGTAGGAGAGTCTACAGTTCAATTGTATTGGAAAAAGTGTTTATCAGCTCTGTTGCTCAAATGAAGAACAGAAGGATTGAAATAGATTTGAATATGGTCAATTTAAATGGACAGAATGCCAGGCCTGAAGTCAAGAAGACTCATCTTCCTGAGTTCAAATCTGGCTTTAGACATTTACTAGCTGGATGACCCTGGGCAAGTCACTTAATCTTGTTTGATTCAGTGCCTCATCTATAAAATGAGCTGGAGAAGGAAATGGCTAACCACTCCAGTATCTTTGCCAAGAAAACCCCAAATGGGGTCATGAAGAGTCAGACATGATTGAAAATGACTGAACAACATGATCAATTTGTCAAAACAAAAATCATGATAATGGTAGCACAGCACAAATTTGCATTTCAAACACTGGAAGGCAGGAGGAAGTCTAGCCTTAGCCAACTTTTCAGGTGTCTGCAAACTACAAGAACTTAATACAATTTATTTACAAAATAAAATGGGAAGATTGGGTTTTCAGAGTAATGACCTCAGCTTCCTTTCCCCACTAAACATTATAGAAGTCCAGCAAAGACCAGAGATATTACTAAAACAATAAAACAATTCTTTGAATTTATAAAGCATGAAAAGATTAATTTCTACAACCCACTATTAGGTTGGGAGAAAGTAGATAGATGGAATATTTTCTCTATTCACTAGATTAAGAAACACAGTACATTCAAAAAACATTAAGCCCTTACTATGTGCACAATGCTGTGCCAGCTCCCACAGGACATGGTCCCTGTCTTATAGTAGCACACCTTATAAACATAAGATTATAGACTGACTTAGAGGGGACCTTGGAGGTAGGTCATCTAGTCCAACCCCTTCATTTTATAGGTAAAGAAACTGAGGCCCAGAGAGTTTAATTGATACAGTCACTAAGTGGCATATGTAGGATGGGAACACAGGTCCTCTGGGACAAAATCTAGTACTAGATGACGATAATAAAGATGCTGAATGGTAAGTGAATTAAAGAAGGATTTAAAGGGTAGGTAGGAAATAAACTAGAAAAGGGGGAGTAGATGTTGCAGGCTTAAAGAACAGAATAAACAATGGCTAGAATTAGGAAAGACCAGTGTGTGGGAGGCACAGAGAATAAGTAATACAGTTCAGTTGCTAGAGAAAAAAATTGTAAGGAGGGAACCAACATAAGGTTGGAGAAACAGGGTGGTAAAGGGTCAGAGAGGGCCTTGAATGTCAGGTAAACACATTTGAACTTTACACCACGTGCTCTAGGATGCCACTAAAGACTTGCAAGCAAAACAGTGAGTCACATGAAGATAGATCATAGAGATTGGTCTGGTGGTAGCCTGAAAAAGGTAAATTGAAGGCCAACAGTAAGGAGGTTATTGCCATAGTCTAGTCAGAAGGGGCTGTATTTGGGGGATGGCAATGAGAAAAGAGAGGGGACAGATGTGAGAGAGATTGTAGGGGTGGAATAGGCAGGACTTGGGAAGTGTTTGAAGGAGAAGAAGAATCAAAGATAACCCCAAAGTGCCCAACATGGAACCACTGATAGAAATAGAGAAGTCAGAAGGTTTAGAGGGGAAGGTAAATTTAGTTTTGGACATAGCGGTTTTGAGGTGTTGTTGGGAAAACCAGATGAAGCTAATAGGATCATAAACTTAGAACCAGAAGGCACCTCAGAGGTTAGATGGTCCCAGAGCCAAAAACAAAAAAGTAGCTTGGAGTTTGCCCTAAATGTCATAGGAGGGCTGCTTCTTACCTACCACTCACCATTATTTGTCTGACACACCCTCCTCTTACCATCCACACAGTTCCATGGCCATCATGCTCTTCTCTCAGTCCTACCTTCCTAAGAGTGTCAACTGCCCCTGACACATCACTCTGGAACGTATGGGATGAGAAAGGGGTGAAAGGCAAGGGATGGGGGAGAGCAGAAACAGCAGTGAGACCATAAGTAAGCCCAAGGCCCTATTTTCCTCTGCTCTCTTGTAACCCTTCTGTATTATTTATTTGTTAAATTGATAACTAATGCTAAATTGTCATCCACATCTTCCTCTCATTCATTCCATCCTCTGGTGCTTACTGAAAACTGGCTACCATCTTGGCATCCTCTGCAAGGCCCTAGATGAGTTGATATAGCCTTGTTCCGGGCAGCTAGGTGGCACAGTGAATAGAACACCAGCCCTGGAGTCAGGAGGACCCAAGTTCAAATCTGGCCTCAGACACTTGATAACTTTCTAGCTGTGTGACCCTGGGCAAGTCACTTAACCCCAACTGCCCAGCCAAAAAACAAAACAAAACAAAAATTTACTCCTTGCTCCCCACCGCCACTTTCAGACTCAACATACACTTTGCCTCCTTTAGAATTTACTCTATCTTGTCCAGATGCTTATTGCCTGTTATCCATAGCTCTCAAGATCACTTCCTCCAGTTACTTCAGTATGTGGCTCACAGCTTCTTTCTTTACCAAAATCTCTCTTCCCTTTGAATATCATGGTCTCCTATTACCTCAACTTCCTAAAGTCTCAGGACCTTTGCCTCTAGCCTACCTCCATCACCACACTCTTTCCATTCCATTCACCCAAAACTTTACTGAAATCAAAGGAAGAATTTTCCTTATAAGGACATATCACTATTAAAAATGGCAATTTCCTTTTCTGTTCTCTGCTTCAAATGCCTTCGAAAACCCTTTTGTTGTCTATAAGCATTTTTCCAATTATTTAGGCTGACTTGTCTTCCTCTCTTTGCTGATCTCTATTTCATTGCTCTTTAACACCTCTACTTAAGTGTGGGAAGAGTAAATTAAAAGGATGGAAACTGAAATCAATAAAGTTCACAGTTGAGCAGCTCTACCCAAATCAATCCCTCAATATTAGTGGAATCCCTTTAATATACAAAGAAGGAGAGACAAGACATCATGGAGGAGGTTGGAACCATCAACTAAAATAAAAAATTTTGGATTATCTGTGAATTTCTATAATGTACACTGTTCTGTAGTAGAGATAAACTTGACTACAGTTAGAAAGTTAAAATATCAATACAAGTTGTATCCGCATTTCCCTGGGGGTCCTTCTTACATAATGAAATGAAATATTTTTAGTCTCTGAACAGTTATAACTTTCTTTACTGGATCATAGGATGATAGTGATAAAGCTGGAAGGGACTTTATGATCCATCTAATCCAATCCCCTCATTTTACAGATGAGGAAATTGGAGTCCAGAGATGTTAAATGATTTGTTCAAGGTCACACATGTAGAGCTGGGTCTGAACTCATATTCTGTCACTCCAATTTGAGGCTCTTTTGACTGCACCATAGTCTCCCAAATATTTTACTTTTTTTCTACCAAACTAACAAGCATTTACAAAGTGCCTATTACGTGCTAGGCACTGTGCCAAGTGCTAAGTATGCAAAGACAAAAATGAAACAGTACCAGCCTTCATGGAATTTGATTTCAATAGAAGGAAATCCCCTACACTTCTAAGTATAAAAAAACTAGGTGAATGAATGAAAAAAGCATTTATTAAGAGCTTACTATGGGCCAAGCACAAACAGAAAAACCAAGACAATTCCTACTCTCGAGGTGGGGGGGGCAGGAATGAGACAACATAAAAAGGAAAATTCAACTGCAAGGCAGATGGAAAGGTGCAGAAGTCCTAAGGGTGTACCATGGGACTGATAACAAGGCCCAGAACTCCTTAGGTTACACATAAAAATTTATTAAGTGCCTACTACATGCTGGGCACTTTACAACACTTCATAAGAACCTTGGGAGGTAGGTGCCATTATTATCTCCATTTCTTATATTTCAGGAAACTGAGAAGGAGGTTAAATGACTTACCAAGGGCTAGTGTCTCAGGCCAGATGTGAATTCAGGTCTTCCTGACTCTTGGCCCAGCATTCTATCCACTGAATCATCTAGGAGACTCCAGGATATACACAGGCAGGGTAAATGAAAAGGGCTGACAGTCCTCCATCTTGTCATAAGGAATGGGGTTGTTAAGTACCATCTTGTTCAAGCCCTCTGACTAGTAAAGTATTCTGAACAAAGGTAGAAGGCAAGTTGGGAAGCTACTCCTGGTGGAATCAGTTCTTGCAGTCTGCATGTTCAGATGGCTGTGAAATAGCCCAGGCTTAGGGCTAGGGGTGGAGGGAGGGAGAAATTAGGAAGAGGAGTTGAAAGGTAGGATGCTCCCATTGTGTCAGTTCTTTTTGCCGAGCTAACCTGGATGGGTTCTATATAAAAAAATAAATAGTAATAGTGGAAGGGGGAAAAAGGAGGTTCCAGTAGTTGGGGTAGACCAATAAAAGCCTTAAATTGGAGGTGGCATTTGAGTTGTACTTTTAAAGACACCAAGGATTCTTCTAATGGTAAAGTAAAAGAGGAAGTGCATTCAAGATGTGGGGGGGGGGGAAGCCTATGCATGTGAATCATATGTGAGAAATGCAAGGAAAGGCAAGTTTGGCAGGACTGCAGGCCTCATGAAAAAGAATAATGTATAATTAGTCCGGAAAAATCTTGGTAGCATGGAAGTAAAAAATCAGAAGACTTGTGTCTTCCTAGCTTTACTTTTTTCTGTAATTTGGGGACAATAATACTTTCACTACCTACCTCACTGGGTCACTTTGTGGATCAGATTAAAGTATGTAATGCATTTCAATGCTATCCAAAAATGATGACTATAATCAACAATTACATATTGTCTATATAAGGGTCATGAAACACTAAAGATTTAATTTGGAGGGTGTATGTTACGATTGATGATTTTAAAGAGATTTATTCTTTATGACTGATTTCAAATAAGCTACTGTATTTCCCTGAGGTATCTGGTCATATACAAACATCAATCATTTGGTTAACTTTCAAATTTAAAATTTATTTTTGGTATGGGGAGGATGGGGTGGCAGAGGGCTCTCCTTTGTATCTTCATGGCCTGATTGATAGATCAAATGGCATGCAACTTTCATTGGCCACAAGAAACTATTGCAATATAATAGTCTATCTTGCAGGATTTTGAAAACTTCCCTGGTATAAAAACAGAAAATAACCACACCCTTTGCTGACTCAATGTTCCCATGAACTAGTTTCCTTTACTTTCAGAAATGATTTAATCTTCATTTTAAATTGCTGAAAGGTTATCCTTACTTTTCTTAATTGAAATGTGGCTTAATGTTAATTGCTCCCATCCAGAATCATTCCTAGAGTAAAATAGATTATTTTTTAGTCTAATACATCTCTCCTCTTCCCCCTTCCCACCTCCAATACAGATACTGATTCGATAATCCTTAAAACGAAGCCCAAATGTCTTTATTGCTTAATCAGCCCGTAGGCCCTCCCCATTCTACATCACATTTTACTCTGTTGCCTTTTAGAGGTTTCTTTTTCCTTGTTCAAGCTGCCCTTGAGGTTCAACCCACATACAAAAACACAAAGGGAAGGATTGATGGTATCGATTTTGGTTTGCAATTTGCCCTTGGGGATGGTCCTAGGCCCTCAACCTTTTCAGTGCCTAGCCTTATTTTCAGAAACTGAATGTATGCAGTTGCCAATTTTGTGAAGACAGCAGCGGAGAGGAAGTTCATTATTCATCTGAACCACGATCAAATCCATGGACTATGGATTACTACACTTAATAAGAACACAATCAAGGTTCTAGGAACAGTTGTAAGCAACTAGAAAGATGTCTTATCTGTTCTGTGTCCTTCAATTATTGCTCATAGGACAAGACTACTTGCTAAGGGCCTCTACAATTGTCCTTATAGACCTTGTCCTGTTTTCAAATCATTTGAGGACTCAGGAAAGCGTTGCTTCATTTTCTGCTGGCTCACCTTTGCTACACCTTATTATGAAACACTGAATACTTTCACTCTAAAGAAGCAAAGGGAGGCTCAGATATTAGAAATGGTAACCTAAGAGTTGCAACCTGAGATTTCAGGTCCCCTTTGTAGAAAAAAGCAAGCCTACTGATCTGTGACCTTGGACAAGTCACCGAACATTCTTGGATCTCATTTTATTTCTTTGTAAAACAAAAAGATTGGATTAGATCCCAAATTTAAAAAACTATGAACTAGCTGCTGAAGTAGGAGAAATACAAAGTTTTTTTTTTTAAACAAAGGTTAAACAAAGGTGGAAGTGCCTAGAGAAGGGGTATTTTATAGACACCAGAAGAAAGTCCTTCTGCCACAAAACGATATTAACTTAGACTACTTAGGGCTTGGTATTACCTCCTAAACAGATGAAACTGAGCCGCAGATATTTAGATTTTTATCTAAATTCCAATCTTTGTCTACCTCCCTCCCCCTTCCACTAACTAGTTAGGCTTCCTGAATCCTAGACCTGCATTCTTCTTCCTACATTTTAAGGCTCACATTGGCGGTGAGAGAAGGAATGAGGGAGAAGAGTGAAAGAAAAAAGGGAAGCACAGGCAGCATCATTCAGAGAGGAAGCAAAAAACAAGCTCACAGGAGCAGGGGGTGGGGTGTGGTGTACAAGACCCGGCTTCAGCTTGCGTTTCCCCTGCTGAAAATAATAACCATAAAGACACCGAAATTTTTTGTGTAGCCCCTTTTCAGTTTCTGGAGTGTTTTCACGCTGCCCCACAGCCCGGTGGCCTGGGGAATTAGGTGGAAATGAAGTCCTCTTAAAAGGCTGATTCCTCCGTTACAAAACTAGAAAAAAACCAACCAGCTGGGGGAGGAGGGGTGGGAGATTTTTTTTTTTTCTTTAAGACCATTTAAATAGCAGAACTGGGTCTGTTGGGAAAGACCGGGTCATTTTCCAGAGTAGTCCACAGCTGTCTCCACAAGGAGGAATCCAGGGATTATGAGGGTGGATGGGGGTCGGTACAAAGGGTTTGTGTCTAGCATGATCCAGACTCGATGTAGCTATTAGATTTATGAAGCGCTTACAGTGCGCCAGGAGGTGTTTCTCCTCCTCTCCCCTCTCCCATCTCCTCCGTGGCGCAAGGATGGGGGTGGGGTGGGTGAACGCCTTGTTCCTTTCCAGCTGTGACATTCTGGGCGTGGGGGCCTGGGGATTCTGGGATCCAGTACGAGAGCACCCCTTGGTCAGTACCCGGGCTTTTGTGTCTAGCAGAGCTATTCCAATACGCCACCACACCCCCACTGCGACCAAGGGAAAAGGGCACCACATGGGGCCCAGCGGGGGTCCGAGACCCGGCCTTCATGCCGCCTCGTGTAGGAGTGGGGGAGGGGAGGAAAGGCCAGAACTGCGCACCCTTCCATTTCCCTAGGCTGCTGCCCCGGCAACGCTCGGGTTCAAAATCCAGGAAAAGAACCCGGCACGCCCAGGGGGCCTGGGAAGGCGCAACCCGACCTCACGGTCAGGAAGAGAAGGCCAAGCTAAGCAGCGACCATTTTGTTCCCTCTCCACTTCCGCCCTTCCCGAGAAGAGCTTCCCCTCCCCCACGGCCCCGTCTGGGCCTCGCCAGCCGGGCTCCCCAGGATTCGCACGCTCCAGGAGCGTGATTGGCTCTCTCCTCCGTTGCCTCCCAACCCTCTTTTTTTACCCCTTCCTCTTTATTCCCGAGTGCGCATGCTCAGATTCCCAGCCACAGACCTGGCCCCATTTTCCCCTCCCCTCCCTTCCCGCAGAGACTGAGGGCTCCCGCGCGCGGGTTCTCATAGGTTCCGCCTCTCTCTTCCATTCCGTCCCCCGCCCTTCTTTTCCCGGACGGCGGGGGCGAGCATGAAGGTTCGAGAACGGGGAGGGATTAGCGTCACGACTACGGGGGACGGGATGAGGTAGGAGGGGGCGAGGCCTGGGGAGGGGAACGGCTCCGTTCATTGGCCCCGCAGCCGGTAGCGACGTCACCTATTGGACGAGAGCTCCAAGATGGGCAGCCCGGATGGGCGGGTCCTTTCTGGAAGGTTCGGCGAAGGGTTATAAAAGCCTGGGGGGCAGGCGGAAGCGGGTCTACTCAGCGCAGCAGCAGCCTTTCTTCTAACACAGCGGTGAGCTACGACTCCCGACTCCCCAGGTAAGGCCTAAAGGAGCATTTCTAGGATTTCCTTGAATGTCAGTATGCCTTAATATTTCCCTTTTTTTGCATCCAGTACTAAATTATTTTAATTACTTGAGGGGTGTTTAATTGCTGTGGATTTTGTGCCAAGAAAACGCTGATTTGGGGCGACATTATGCAGTGGCGGACCGGTACATTGCGGTACAAAACCACATTTATCATTTTTGTAATTAAAAGAAGAAAAATTTTTTCCTTTTCGTGTTGCAAAGCAAAATCCGCAGTGTCCAACGCGGGCGGGGTTTAGAGGGGAGCACGGGGAACAGAAAGGAAATTGGGAGAAAAATCCACTCCTAGAGCGGATTGCATGCGGGGGCGGGTGGGGGGGGCGCGAGCGGCCGCGCTGGGCCTTGTGGGGCCCTTGTTACTGAGGCTCTGAGGGCGTCACGGGGTCAAGGTGGGGACGTCCTAATGAGATTATCCTCTTGGACCGCGTGGCTGGAGTTAAGAAGCTGCGGTGGGGTGCATGCCGGGTAATGTAGTTCTTGTGTACCACGTGGCTTGCCTTTTGCTGTGCTTGTTCTGCTTCCATCAGAAATCTCACTTGGTAAAAGGGAGTAGGCAACCTGGCTTAGATCCAGTGGTTGGGCGTTAGAAAAAACCAAAAACAGTCGAGGCCATTTTGTCCCTTTTAAGAAGGGGAGGGGGGGCGGAGCCCCAACCTTTTCCTGGCCCGGGCCACGTGTGCAGCCAAAACCCTTCTGGTGCTTAAATACCACCTGTGAGGTGGTGAGACTGCTCCTGATAATGTAGTTGTAGCATTTATTTTTTCAAAACCTTGCTCCGGTTGCAGGTTCACGTATATAGTCCTCAAGGGGACTTTAGGTAGAAAGAAAGGAGCTTGGTATAATGGGAGATTGCTGATGCATTACTGAAATTTTTAAATCTATTTCATTGCAGCAACCATGTCGAAGGGACCCGCAGTTGGCATTGATCTTGGCACCACTTACTCCTGTGTGGGAGTCTTCCAACATGGGAAAGTGGAGATCATTGCTAATGACCAAGGAAACAGGACCACCCCAAGCTATGTTGCCTTCACCGACACAGAGCGTTTAATTGGTGATGCTGCAAAGAATCAAGTTGCAATGAACCCCACCAACACAGTTTTTGGTAAGGAATCAAACTACAGTAGTTGAAATTTCAAGTTACTGTAAG